AACCAAGGCAGTCTGTTTGAATGGTAAAGCCACCGGAAATGGCTTTGGTGGGCCCACAAGTTGGGTGCACTGAGGTCTCATGGAATCAGCAGGGCAGGTCGGACAGTGTTAGCCAGGTTGATGGAGACTCAGATGTGGCCCCTGCCTGGGTATGGGACCACCATTTTATATGTGGTTGTCATTAAACAAAATGCTGTTATGCTGTGCATGACTGAAGTAAAGTCCCTCCATGTGTCCTTTCTATTATCTGAGGAGAAGGAAGTATGGAGGGCTCAGTGTAATCCCTCTCCAGGTTAAATGCTATGAATTAGCTAAAGGTTGTGAATACTCCTATTATTCATATGAAACTGAGGAACCTTTGAATCTGAGTGGAACAGTCCTGTCATCTAAGCAAGACCTCAGATTTTCTAATGAGCACTTGTGTAGGAGAATATGGCTTAGGTTGGATCCTATCTATTAATTAGAATGAAGGTTTGGGTATGAACTAATTTTACTCCATAGCACTTTCCATTTTTACAAACCATTTATTTTACTTTCTTATTGTCCATTTTTCTCACTGGAATGTAAGCCCTGTAAAGGCAAAAGTTGTTTTAAAAAATATTTTTGTTCTTTCTCTATCCTGCATTGTTCTAACAGCAATTCCTACAGCAGTGACTCATGAAGGACTCACTGAATGAACAAATGAATGAATGAATGAATGATATGAAGTTTCTGGGGGAACAAAACAGGCTAAGAAACACTGCCCCTACCTTGCCTCAAATAGTACTCTCTCAGGGCTCATCCTCTAATCTCTTAACTAGCTTTATTTTTTCTTCACAGCATCCAAAGACATTTTGAAACATTACATAATCTTTGTTCCTTGAGTGTCTTCCTTATTAGAAAGTGAGTCCCATGAGAACAAGAACTTTTTTCTTTTAAATTATATTTTAATGATTATGCAGTTAAAATTGTTCCAGTTTTTCCACCTTTGCCATGCTCCACCTAGCACCCCCCCGCAACTCCCTTAGGAAATCCCACCCCCTTGTTTATGTCCATGGATCATGTGTACAAGTTCTTTGGGTGCTCCATTTCCAATACTGTACTTTAACATCGCCATGGCTGCTCTGTGACTACCAATTTGTACTTCTTAATCCTCCCATCTCTTCACCCATTCCTCCAAACACCACTTCCATCTGGCAACCATCAAAATGCTTTCCATATCCATGATTTTATCTCTGTTCTTCTTGTTTGCTTAGTTTGTTTATTAGATTCAATTGTTGATAGGTATGTGCTTATTGCCATTTTATTTTTCATAGTGTTGATCTTTTTTAAAAATAATCCCTTTAACATTTCATATAATAATGGTAGGGTGATGATGAACTCCTTTACCTTTTTCTTGTCTGGGAAGCTCTGTATGTGCCCGTCGATTCTAAATGATAGCTTTGCTGAGTAATCTTGGCTGTAGGTCCCTGATTTTCATGACTTTGTTTCTTTTTTAAAAATTTATTTATTTTTAGAGAGGGGGAAAGAGGGTGGACAAAAGAGGGAAACATCAATTTATGGTTGCCTCTTGTGTACCCCCTACTGGGGACCTGGTCTGCAACCCAGGCGTGTGCCCTAGACTGGGAATCAAACCAGTGACCCTTTGGTTTGCAGTGACCCTCAATCCACTGAGCCACACCAGCCAGGGCTGAATATTTTTTGCCAATCCCTTTTAGCCTGCAAAGTTTCTTTTGAGACATCAGCTGGCAGTCTTATGGAACTCCCCTGTAGGTAAATAACTGCTTTTTCTCTTGCTGCTTTTAAGATTCTCACTTTATTTTTAATCTTTGGCATTTTAATTATGTTGTGTCTTGGTGTGGGCCTGTTTGTGTCCATCTTGTTTGGGACTGACTCTCTGTACTTCCTGGACTTGCATGTTTATCTCCTCCACAAAATTTGGGAGGTTTTCTTTCATTACTTTTTTTCAAATAGATTTCCAATTTCTTGCTCTTTCTCTTCTCCTTCTTGCACCCCTATGATTCAAATGTTGGTACACTTGAAGTTGTCTCAGAGGTTCCTTATAGCATCCTCAGTTTTTTGGATTCTTTTTTCTTGTTCTGATTGGTTGATTTCTGTTTCCTTATGTTCTATATCATTGCTTTGATTTTGCTTCATCCATTCTACTATTGATTCCCTGTAAATTGTTCTTTATTTCCACTAGTATACCCTTCATTTCTACCTGGGCCTTTTTTATGCTGTTGAGGTAATCACTAATTTCTCTGATCATCCTTATAACCATTGTTTTGAATTGTGCATCTGATAAATTGCTAATGTCCATTTTGTTTAGTTCTTTTTCTGGAGTTTTGATCTGTTCTTTCATTTGGGCCATGCTTCTTTGTCTTCTCATTTTGGTAGCCTCCAGAACAAGAACTGTTTGTTCTGTTGTATCTGGTGCCGAGCTTCGCTACATACATGTGGAATGAACAACGACAAACTTGAATCTCACAGGCAGAGATGATGATATTTTTTGAACACACTTTAGTGTTCATGTCAAGAAGAATATATCTGCCAAAAAAAAAAAAAAAAAAAAAAAAGGACTCTGTGGTCAATGGAGCTCAAATTATATCCAGATATTAGCAGCTATTGTTTGCAGAGGTCCCTCATTCCTGCTGCCTTTCAGGGAAAATCCACAGACTGGGCTGCTAAACCTCCTGCACTGCGTTCCTGTCATCTGACTTGATCCTTATAAGTGAGCCCCCAGGATCACATTTTGACGAATAGGAACTAATACAACTGAGAATGTCGCCCACCAACAATTCCATCAGAGCTACAAAGCTATATTCTTATTTGCATTTTTATTAACCAGTCAGACTAGCTTCATTATGATCAAGCACGACAGTGCTTTTTTGACCAATCAAGTCTTGAAGATCTGGAGTCTTCATTTGTATGAGAACATACCAGTCAGGGATGGGGGTGGGAACTTTTTTCTATATACCATAAGTCAGCTTCACCTCTGTTTCAGTGAGTCACACTCTTAGTTTCCATCAGATTGTGTTTTCTCTGGTTGGAGATATAATACCAGAGCAGAGCTGAGACAACTGTGCTATTTTACAACTGAGCTGTTGGCAGTGAATAAAGTCTGATTCCCCTTCACCTTACCCCAAATTGGGGACTTCTGTTGGCACTGAAGTGGTGACAACAGTGACCAAAAACCCTTGTGGAGAAGTGCCAGCACAGAGACACAAATGCCAAGTGTTTGCTCCTTGGCCCTCTTGAATGTGTAAAGGTTTGGCTCCAAGGACTTTTTTTTCCAGACAAAAGCTCCCAGGCCAAGGGGCCCTTTTGGTGAAGTACACTGTTCTATAAGGTGTATCAAGGTATGTACGCGGAGAGGGTGGGGTGGGCTGGCGTGGAGGCAGTGCTGCTGGTGGAACTGGGGCTCTTTCACAGAGTCCTAAGAAAAGCATTTTGGGAAAGACAAGTAGGGGAATGAGGTTTAGTGATAACATTCATGGGCGTGGAAATAGAAGGCTGTCCCTGGGTTCTCAGTATCCCATTTCCATCCCTCTCGCCATGGAAAAAGTCCAACGTCATCTTCAGCAAGGCCAAAACAAAGGCCTGTGTCCAAAGACGCCGGCATTGCTGCGGCGCCAGCAGCCTTACTCTCCTCCAGGGAGCTTAGAGCTGTTCCCAGCTGGTCAGCTGCTGTGCTGCTGTACCAGCCTCAAAGCCTGCGTCTCGAGTCCTTAAGGCTGCCAGGGCCATATGGTTACTAAGGAGAGAGGACACACTGAGTGAAGGGCCAGGGCCACGTGCTACCCGGTGAGAAAGGGAGAGAGAAAAGAGAAGGGGAGAGAAGACAGGCAGAGGGGAGGAGGGGGAGGGAAGAAGGAAAGGACGGGGAGAGGGAGAGGGGGGAGAGAGAGAGAGAAGCTCGTTGTTAAACTGGGTTATATTCTCAGACCTGGGAAGGACCAGGTGTTTTCTCTAAACTAACCAATCTAGTTCCCAGGCTCTTGTGAGCTTGCACTGGGCCTACCCCTAACCTATCCATTTTCTAGATCTTTCTGGAGAGGCTAGGCCGACAGGCCTCTGTGGTCGCCATTCTGGCTCCTGGCGCCCGGCGCTCCCCTCCCTGTTCATCCTGCTCCTCCCCCCAGGGAGCTTCCGGCAACAGACCTGCGGTTCCCCGGGGAGTGGGCGAAGCTGTGACTTCCTCGGAGAAGCCAGGCTATACTCCCGAGTTGGTTAGGCTCAATCATGTCTGCTTTTTTGCTCCCTTCCTTTATTTATACTTAGCTATCTCCACTCATGGGTAGGTTGGAGACATTTTTAATTGCCATTATTGAAGGAAAAGGGCAGTGGTGTGCTACTGGTAGGGAGAAGCCAGGGATGCTCAATACCGATCAGGATTGCCAGCTCTAGCAAATAAAAATGTATGTGGGTAGAGCGGACAAATTAAATACAGGACGCCCGGTTATATGTGAACCAGGTAACAGCACTGTTCATCTGAAATTCAAGTTGGACTGCGGTGCTCTGTATTCACTCTGGGGACCGTCCCTGCGAAGCGCAGGGCAGGCCCCTCAAACAATGATCCAGGCCAGAACACCCAGGCTGTGGAGACGGAGAGCCCAGCACGGGGCCGCGGGGCCGGAACCCTGGTCGGCGCGGCAGGCCCCAGGGGGCGGCCGGCTCACCGCGCTGGGTGGGCCCTCAGCAGTGCGGTCCGGCGGGTCTGCGGCGGGCCCGGCAAGTGCATTTCCGTCAGGTTTCCTCGTGCCGCTGCTGTTGACGGCTCACATCGGGGAACCGCCGTCCTAGAGAGGAAAAGAGAGGAGGAGGAGGAAAGGGCCCAGGCTAACGTGGCAAAAACTAGGGTGCGCGCAGGCGCGCCCTACAGGCGGCGGCAGGAGACGCCTCGGCCGACCGGGCCGGGCCTCGGAGGCACTTCCGGGTCCCCTCTAGGCGCCGCGGAGGCCCGGACATCTCGATAGTCGCCCGGCTCCGGGCGGGCGGCGATGGGGGCGGAGGGCGGGTCGAGAGACAGCGAATGCTCTCGTGCGGGACGTTGCGCGGGCAAGACGCCTGACGCCGGCGCGGCCGCGGTGTAACGAGAGGTCATTGCTGCTCGCGGTGTCTGGCGCGGCCCTGCAAGTGTCCGGCTCAGCCGGCGCAGGTAGGCGTCGCCCCACTCGCGCCTCTGCGCGGAGGCTTGGCTGCGAGAAAGGCACGCTTTGGCGTGGGTCCTCTCAGTGGCGCTCGAGGTATTTGCCTTCATCGCGCACACCCGATGGATCGTGGGCGGGTGGGAACAGGCCAGGGACAATGGGCCTCTGGGCGCCAAGGGCCGCACCGGCGAGCTCCGGCCGTGGGGCGGGAGGCGGGCCGAGTCTGGCCGAGGTTAGGGTTGGAGGGGGCTGACACCTGTGGGCGGGGCCCCTGCCACACCTCCCCGGACGGGGCGGCTCCACCCTAGGTCACGCTGGCTACTGGGGTCCTGGCATTTCTCCTGATTCAGCCTGCGTCTGGGGTCGCCAGGGTCGCAGGGGGTGTTTGTGCTGTGCTTTTCGTGTATTTCGTTTATTACTTACATGCGGAGAAAAAGAGAGGGGTCCGTATATTACCAAGGGCTTTGTTGAGCCGTTTTTTCATCTGGTTCAGCTTTGAGGCATTTACAATTATAGTGTCTTATTTTAAAAATTTCATTTTTAATAATTTTAAGAAAGTTCAAAAACTAGTGCAAAGAGTTCCTAGATTTTATTCACCAAGTTCCCCCAAATGTTAACAATTTATTTAACAGAACATTTCTACAAGTCTCACTCAGATTTGCTCTCCTCACACGTTTCCTTTTTGTGGTGTAGGATCCAAGTTTTGTCTCATTGGAAAATTTTACATTTTCAACAGTGGAGACCCAGCCCCCTTGCCCCCGAGACTCTTGAGCGGGGCCCTGGGAGCACCAGGTCTCAAATGAAAGAGGCTTTTCTTCCTGGATGCTGGGGCCAGCTAAGAACTTCCAGCAGGGCCTCTGGGCAGCTTCGGCACAGGTGGTCGCCTTCTGCACCTTGAGCCACCTGGCCCTGGCCACTCAGCCTCTCCTGGTTCTGCTATGGTCAGGCTGAATGTCTGCTGTCATAGCTCTGAAGATGCCTACTTGGCCATCTTCTTTTTTGTCTGGGCCTCCTCCCCGGGTAACCCTTTATGACTTCAAGGATTCTGTGGTTTTGAGCATTCCACAAATCATCGGAGAAAGCACTCGTTTGTGACTCCAGCCCAGGCCATTTCTCTGCCCCTGATCCACAGAGCCTACCTGCTGACTTTCTGGATTATCTCAAAAGCATTTTCATCTCCGTATGTGTAAAAGATAGCTGGAGCTCACCCTCACCTGGTTTCCTTTTTGGTCCTCAAAGCCTCTGCGAATGGCACCATCCTACCCCAGCCACTCATTGGACTCTTGATTGACAAATATGTGCTCTGAAGGGGTTCAGAGGATCTTTAGGAATGTATTTGTTCGGATCAATATATATCAAGAGTTCCTAATTCTACTTTCAGTAGCTGACGGATGGCCGAGAAGGGGAGGTCGAAATGCAGGCCTGCTGCAGGGTGAGGTGGCGGGGAGGGGCGGGGTGGGCGCTTAGACGTGGCTCCTCCGCAGCCTGAGTTACTCGGTTCAGCAAGTATTCGCTGGGTGCACCCTGCATGCTAGGAGTTACATTGGCTTTGGGGGATACACAGGTGAATACGTTCTGTACCCGCACTGTGAGCGGGGCGTGTGGTGGGGTGGGTGCGTGGTAACTGAGGTGAGAACTGTAATGAGGGGTCCTTGCATTGGAGGACGTTGCAGAACAGGGGCAGGACTGAACTGAGGTCCGGAACTGAGGGCGGGGGAAGGTTGGGGACAAGGCTGTGAGTGGCCTTTGATCTGATTCAGGGGCCCGTGGGATTCTGACCCGGGGAGGTTCTCTGCAGGCTCTGAGGATGGGCCGGTGTTGGCGTGACAGGTTGGGGGCCGTCACGGAATGTTGATGAGATGAGTGGACAAGGGACAGCCTAGGGCACAACAGAGGAGACAAGGATGAGATGAGCTGCTGAGGGTCAGAGTGACTGAAGTGGTAACACAAGTCACACTCCCTGACCCAAACCTGGCCACATGTGGGTAAAAAAAAATGAGAATGTTTGAATTACGTCAGTCATACTGAAGCACCGCTTAATCAAACATATTACCGTTGCAAAATGTATAAATATTTACATTAAGCAAAAGAAATAGAGATTATAAAGAACCTCAGATCATTTCATATTTTTCTGCCAAAGAGTTTGTTGCCAAATTTTGACAAATGTTCAATTTTCACAGCATTTTTGAATTCTGAGCATTGCGGGTGGGGCTGTGGATGTGAAATGATAGCTAACTCTTACAGAGCCTGTTGTGCGCTTCACCTGCATTGACTCCCATCACAGCAAGACTATGAAGGTACAATGGAAATCTCATTCTACAGGCGAGCAGATGAGGACACAGACAAGGTATGTGCTCTGCCCAGAGTCACACAGCTTGTCACTGGTAGCTCTATAGTCCACATTCTTACCAGGCTTTAGACTTATGAATGGGCTGTGGTGGGGATTCGAAGGACCAAGATCCTCCCCCTGCTCTTCTGACACCTGACATCTTCAGCCGGTCCACCTGAGTGCCCAGGAAGGTCAAAAGAGAAGGGAGGTTGTGGTCACATACTCAGATTCACTACGAGTCCATGCACTCTGGTTTCCAAGATGCCTGGAGTTGTGGTCTGATCGGGGATGAGCTCCTCTCACGGCTGTAGAGGAAGTAAAGGGCGGTGCCAAGTGGACCAGAGGGGTAGGTGGGTGGGCAGAGCTGCTGTGTGGACAAGCTGGGATGCTGGCTGGCTGGCTGGGCTTTAAAATATTCAGATAAACAGTTTCATGAGGTTGTTCATGAGACTGGAGTGGGGAGATGACAGTATTTTAAACTTTTTCCACCAGGTGTTCAAGGCACATATGTTCTGGAACAGCACAGAAAGTGTCTTCTGCCTGCCACTTCTTCCTCACTGTAGACAGCAGTCTTCCTGAGGGACACTGAGGGGGCCGATAGTATTTGCTCACGTGTGTAAGTATCTCCTCTTCCCCTCTGTGAGTGTGCAAAATATGCTTTCAGAGATATCTAGAAGACATAGGAACAGTTTAAAGAATAATGAAACAGTTTTAATATCCTCCTCATTTTAAGCAGTAGAACCTTATCAAAACTTTGGACGTCCCATTCATCTGTCTTAACTACATCTTTTCTCTTCAAAAGTAACCGCTATCGTGAGGTTCCTCTTAATCATTTCCTTGCTTTTCTTTATAGCCCTACCACCTGTATGTGTGCATCTGCAGATTCTTTATATATATCTAAGGATGGGGCAAAAGTAGATTTCCAAATTGTAAATACAGAAAACACAGAGTGTATTGTTATTCTTTATTAAGTGTATTGTTTTCCATGTGAACTACTCTACCTACTTTTGCCCCACCCTATATGCATGTATGTATTAGTTTTGTTTCACTCTGGTCTTCATGAAATCATGTAGCAAGTTCCCTGGTTTTTTGTTCAGTGTTTTATTTGGGATCAGTGGTGCGTGGCTGAAGTGCTTCTTCACCTTCCCTGCTGTAGTTCATTGCTCTTTCTGTTGGTGGCCATTGGAGTTCTCTCTGCTTTTTACCTCTGTAAAGAGACAGTGGGTATTTTTGTCTGGGTCTCCTGGTGCACAGGGGTGGTAGTTTTTCTAGGTCTACTGGCTGTCAAATGGGTTGGGAAGAGGAGGTTGAGGGGGAAACAGGAAGATGCCTTTTGGCTGCTGTAAGTGGGAGGTAGGGTGCTACTGTCTGCTGAGCCGAGCATGCTGCCAGCATTCTACAATGTAGGACAGCCTCCCAGCTCCGCCTGCCTTCCTACACACCAGAGCACTGGCTGACCCCAAACACCACTGCCTGCTGAGAATCCTGTCTGGGGCAGACACCTTGGGAGAGCTGCCAGGAGGACAGTTTGCATGTGTCCAGCCCTGCTGATGTACTGTCGGTGTTCCTTGCAGCAGCGTGGGGCCTCTCTCAGTACTCATTGTACTCTATAATTTTCATGTCCTGAATCGTAATGAGATTGAACATCTTTTCCAGTTTGTTTGCTGTTTGTATTTCCTTTGAGAAGTGCCTGCTGATATACTTCTGCCCATTTTCCTGTTGTGTTTATTTGTGTTCTTAATTGTTCCTGGATTTTGTCCTATATTCTAGATACCAATCCCTTATATTTTTCGCAGATAACTTCTCATGTTTATGAGTTTCTTCTAATGAACAGAAAAGTTCTTAATATAAATGTGGTAGAATTTACCATTTTCTTTATGGCTAATGCTTCTTGTAGGCAGATGTGGTTACTGCCAGGTGCCCAGGTGGACGGGACGGCCTCCGGGAGGTGCCTGAGCAGGGCTGGGGCTGGGCCACGGGGCTGGGCCACGGGGCTGGGCCACAGGGCTGGGCCACGGGGCTGCTCCAGGGTCCCCAGCTGTGCCTGAGAGCCCCGCCTGGCCACCGAGGGCTTGGTCGGGTATGTTTCCCGCTGGCCCCCTTGGAAGGCAGTCCTTCCCCTAGAGTGTAGCAGAGTGGTGCCAAACCAAGTCTGAGTGTTGCTTCAGGGTCCACAGCTGACACTAGCATCGCCAAGCCTGCCACCATGGGCACAGAGGGGCGTTGCTGTGTCCCAGGATAAAAAGGGGTAGCACTGGGTCGCAGGGCTGCTTTACGATCTGCAATCTGGTCCAGACTGGCAAACCTATTCACAAGGCCAAGGGCAGGGGCAGTGTGGCTCCTCTGGGGCCCCTGGCACATGGTGCCTGTTGTAGAACCTTGGCCAGGCCAGCCTGATGGGAGTCCGTAGGGAGTGCGGGTTGCTTTGGGTTTGCAGGTGGGACCACATTTGGTGAGGTTGCTACCAGGGTGCACGCTTGTCTTTTCAAAGCAGCTCTCCTTGGTCTTTGGGTTCCCTGTGGTCTTGCAGGCTCCTACCTGGATCCCAAAGCTTCCACAAAGGCATGTTGGGCCATGGTTAGCTGCCATGTCATTTTCTGTGTGGGGGTTTGCAGGCTGGGGGCCTCCAGCCCCTGTTCTGCCATCTCACTAATGTCACTGCCTGTCTTGTTTGTTCAGAACAGATCAAAACGTCAGCTCTGCTGCTCATCTCAGTAACTCTGTTTGAGCATTAATTACTGAAAGAGATGTGTTGCAATCTCTCACTATTAATTTGGATTGGTCAATCTCTATAGTTCTGTTACTCTGAAGTTATATTACTAGATGCATAAAGTTTAAAATTATGTATTTCTGGTGAGTTAAGCTTCTTTCCCTATGAAGTGACTTTCTTTTTTTTCTGAAAATGCTTCTGTTTCTGTTTAAACTTTATGCTATACATGATTGTAAAAAAATATAATTTATTTATTTTAATCTGTTAAAAATAATAATAATTTATTGAGCCCTATGTAATAAGACAAGGTGCTGAGCAGTTTACATAGATCACTTTATTTGAATCTCCCAATGCTTTTTGATGTAATTTTTCTTTTCATTTTTTCTGAACTTTTAATTAACTAATTGATTAATTTTTTATTGTTCAAGCACAGTGGTCTACGTTCTTCCCCCAGCACTGCCTCCCCAACCCACCCTCCCCACCTCCCATCCTTGATCCCATCCCCACTTGGCTTTGTCCATGTGCCCTTTATACATGCTTCCTCATCACCCCCCCTTTTTCTTCCCCTGGTATTCCCTTCCCCCTCTTCTCTGGGCACTGCCAGTTTGTTCTTCATTCCAATGTCTCTGGGTGTATTTTGCTTGCTTGTTTGTTTTGTTGATTAGGTTCCACTTATAGGTGAGATCATATGGTACTTATCTTTCACCACTGAGCTTATTTTGCTTAGCATAATGCTCTCCAGATCCATCCATGCTGTCATCAAGGGTAGTAGCTCTTTTTTTCTGCTGCATAGTATTCCACTGTGTAAATGTACCGTGGTTTTTTGACCCAGTCATTTACTGATGGACACCTATGCTGCTTCCAGCATTTGGCTATTGTAAATTGTGCTGCTATGGACATTGGGGTGCCTAGGTTCTTTTGAATTGGTGTTTCAGGATTCTTACAGTATAACCCCAGCAGTGGAATTGCCGGATCAAAAGGCAGTTCCATTTTAAGTTTTCTGAGGAAATTCCGTATGGTTGTCCACAGTGGCTGCACCAGTCTGCATTCCCACCAACAGTGCACTAGGGTTCCCTTTTCTTCACAACCTCGCCAGCACTCTTTGTTCATTGATTTGTTTATGATGGCCGTTCTGACTGGTGTGAAGTGGCATCTCATTGTGGGTTGAATTTGGTTCTCTTTGATGGCTAGTGATGCTGAGCATCCTTTCATAGGTCTCTGGGCCTTGTGTGTGTCATCCTTGGAGAAGTGTCTGTTCAGGTCCTTTGCCCATTTTTTAATTGGATTGTTTGTCTTCCTGGAGTGGAGTCATGTGAGTTCCTTATATATTTTGGAGATCAAACTCTTGTCTGAGGTGTCATTGTCAAATGTATTTTCCCATATAATTAGTTCACGTTCCATTTTGCTGATGTTTTCTTTAACCATTCAAAAGCTTTTTATTTTGATGAGGTCCCACTTATTTATTCTTTCCTTTATGTCCCTTGTTCTAGGAGACATAAGGATGAAAATATTGATGCATGGAATATCTGAGATTTTCCTGCCTATATTCTCCTCTAGAACTTTTATGGTGTCACGACTTATATTTAAGTCTTTTATCCATCTTGAGTTTATTTTTACGTATGGTATAAGTTGGTGGTCAAGTATCATTTTTTTGCATGTAACTGTCCAAATCTCCCAACACCATTTGTTGAAGAGGTTATTTTTACTCCATTTTATGCTTCTGCCCCTTTTGTCAAATATTAATTGACCATAGAGACATGGTTTTTCTTTTGTTTTTTTTCCGGGCTCTCTGTTCTGTTCCATTGATCTATGTGTCTTTTCTTATGCCAGTACCAGACTATTTTGATTACCGTGGCTTGTAATATAGCTTTATATCAGGTATTGTGATCCCTCCTACTACTTCTTTCTCAGAATTGCTGCAGCTCTTCAGGGTTGTTTGTGATTCCATATAAATTTTTGAAGTGTTTGTTCTATACCTGTTAAATATGTCATTGTTATTTTAATGTCATTAGTATGGACATTTTGTTGATGTTACTTCTTCCAATCCATGAACATGGTATATGCTTCCATTTGTTTGTATCTTCCTTAATTTCTTCAGTGTTGCATAGTTTTCTGAGTACAGGTCTTTTACCTCCTTGGTTAGGTTTATTCCTAGGTACTTTATTTTTCTTGTTGCTATAGCAAAACGGATTTCTTTCCTGATATATTGTTGTTGGGATAGAAAATGCCTAAATTTCTGAATATTGACTTTGTATCTCACTGCTTTGCCAAGTTCACTTATTAAGTCAAATAGTTTTTTGGTGGAGTCTATAGGGTTTTCTATGTATACTATGATGTCATCTGCAAACAGTGACCGTTTTGCTTCCTCCTTTCTAATTTGGATGCCTTTTATATCTTTTTCTTGTCTGATCGCTGTGGCTAGGACTTCCAATACTATGTTGAATAGAAGTGGTAAAAGCAGGCACCCTTGTCTTGTTCCTGATCTTAGTGGGAAAGCTTTTAGTTTTTGCCCATTGAGTATGATGCTGGCTATAGGTTTTCATATATGGCCTTTATTATGTTGAGGTATGCTCCCTCTACTCCCACTTTGCTGAGTATTTTATCATAAATGGGTGCTGTACCTTATCAAATGCTTTTTCCATGCCTATCGATATGATCATGTGATTTTTGTCTTTCCTTTTGTTTATGTAATGTATTACACTTATTGATTTGTGAATATTATTCCATCCTTGCGTCCCTGGGATGAATCCGACTTGGTCATGATGTATGATCTTTTTAATGTATTGTTGGATGTGGTTTGCCAATATTTTGTGGAGGATTTTAGCATATGTGTATCGGCGATACCGGTCTGTAGTTTTCTCTTTGTTGTGTCTTTTTCTGGTTTTGGGGTTAGGATGATGCTGGCT